TTAGTGCATTTTCTTTTAAAATTAAGTAAATGAATTTATTTTGATACCCTCCTTGTCGAGCCTCAGATATAAGTGTCAATACAATCAGAAATAAACAAACTAGTTTATTAGTTAGGAGAAGAACCTAGCTGAACTGTGTCAAATTTTTTGGTCTCTAGGTTAAAAATTATAAAATCTCTACGGAAAAATGTTCCAAAAGTGTCCGGTTAATGGTCTCCGACCAGTATGTCGTAAAACAAAGTAGTATTTTGACTTGCATAATAATACTAACTCAATACGATAATAAATACCAATTGCAAACTTAGCAATATAGCAAATTATAAATCATGTAGATCTATATAAAATCAATATACAAAAATATTTTTTTAAAAACTAAAGCATTTCTGAGACAAAATGGGCCTTTAGGTAGTTTAAAAGTTGAAACTGGTACAGCCTATCAATAATTTAAAACGAAATAAATAAAAAAATAAAAAAACCTCGCTGTATTTCAGGAAACAAAAAGAAGACCATGTTGAAATAAAGGCCACATACACACCGGAGTTATCAAATCGCGGCTCAAAATTATCACCCATCACCTGTCCTGGTTGTTATATGATCAGCAGAAATAGAAACACTTTGCGGTATCGCGGCAGTTACCTAAACGATAAACATAAAGAATACATCTTTATAGAATCCTTGCATGATTTTATTTTTGGTAAGTCTACAATTTTGTTCTCTTCTTCTTCTCTATTTGAATTAATTGAGGGTAGTCTTTTATAAACCGGCCATGTAATATTGACATAAATTAAACCTTTTACGCAACAGTTATTTAAATACCTGCAGCCCATGCCCCATCAGAGAGTGGAGGGCTGCGGGAAGAATTAGATGTGTTTGTATTTTCCGTCTGCGCACGCACGTCCGAGTAATTTTGGCGCCAAAATGACGTAGCCTATACATGTATTTCTTACATATCAGACTGGCGTTTCCGTTAGTATTACCCATGCTGGCATAGGGGGTGCCAGATGAGTCGCGTGCTGTACAATGGCACGCTTAGGATGACGTAATTTTACCGTTATGGATGAAGTTGTAATTTCATACGCTGTTGTACGAAAATAGTTACGGTTGTAATGACATAAATTCCCATTGAAAATTAAGATAAAGAATTTAAAATATAATTTAATATCGTAAAATATGCAAGAAAAAATATCTGACACATGTTTGCGGTTCGGATCGGAATATCCGTCCCTCGGTAACCTGCCCATGGACGTTAACTCGCCAAGTCTCGTTCCCGCCCAATGGGGACGGATATTCCGATCCAAACCGCAACATATGACAGATATTATTAATCTGAATCGTAGTTCAAAAGCATTAAGCTGGTATTTTACTATCTGATGGCCTCAAAAAGAGTCAAAGGCTCTGCTTTAATGTTGTTGCTACTGATGTTGTTGTTGTTGTTGTTGTTGTTGTTGTTGTTCCTGCTGCTGCTGCTTGAAACAGTCATTAACAAAAATGATTTGCCTTCACTTATTCTGTTTTAGTAATTGCCACCATCGTAATAGCAGTGTCATGGGTGACCATATTCTCCCTGATCCTCCATGGTAAGTACATGTATACAAATGTATACACATATCTACATATAACACTTCCGGTTATCAATGCATACAAACAATACCATTCAATTTCAATTTTTCTCTTCAATGATGCAAGATTGGAAAACACATACACTCAAATTCACATGTGGAGGAGGCCTGTCATTATTTACATTGTTTTAAGAAAAGTTTTCAAAACAGTATTTCATGTAAAACAACAGAATGCCCGCTTTGTACTTTGAAAACATAAACAGAAAATAACTGTGTCAGCTCGCACTTCGTGAGACCTTGACCTAGTAAACTTCACTCCATCAGAATTATATATGTTCGAGACCTACCCAGCTTTCACTAACGTTCTCAAACTTAAAATCTCAGCTCAAATCTGAGATTTTTCTCAAATCAGAAATTGAGACTGAATTTTTTCTCAATATTTTTTAGTGAAAGCCAAACTGAGAAAAATCGCAATCTAAATTTCTGAGTTGAGGAAAATCTCAGATTTGAGCTGAGATTTTAATTTTGAGAATGTTAGTGAAAGCCGGGTCAGAACAATATTCACATTTTATGATAACTGTATTTTATTCCGATACAGGTCGAGCACAGAGAAATATGAACCAAGGTTTCCATGCAATAGTCATGGCACACTTTAACCCGCATCAAACGTTTATAAACAGCAGACGACAGGGATAGAAGGCATACTCTGTACCTTTTCTATGACTATTTTTTTTTTATAAAGAATCACATTAAAACGACAGAAAATCATTTTCGTTTTGTTTTCTCATACAAATACTGGTATTATGGAAGATGCAACATGAAATGGTGCGCTACACAAAAAATCCAAAGGTTTTATAATATATGTTAATAAATAAGTGATTTGATATTGGTCCTGTTATTTGTCCCAGGGCAGTCGTATTGGCCCAAGGCCGAAGGCCAATATCAAATCACTTATTTATTGACAATTTTATTAAATAACTACATGTACTTATAATATTTCACATTTAATCCTCGGATATTTCTTCTTATTTTAATTCTAACATCTTTCAATTTTAACAAAGAACATTTTGTTTCATTTATGCAACCTGTCGGCGTCTACACATAGACCGAGTTAAAACAAAATGGCTGCCATTTCACAGTTTCTTGCAGAAATCTATATCATTTTTTGGCAGCCAATCAAATTACTTCAAATGCGGGCTTCATTGGAGAGGTCATCAGACCTCTCCATAGTGTTCAGACTGATTGCTGGCGGCATCCATTTTTGCGTATCTGATTGTAGTAAATGAATGTCATTTACAGCTTAAAACCATTAGGAGCAGTCTACAAAATTTGTTTTGCGCATGCTCCGTTTCAAAATACGACTTAACTTAAACGAAAAATTGACCTTTTCGAAAACCTAGCTAAACACCGTTTTCCGATACGTTACGGAACATCGAAGTGAACGAATCGATCGGTACAAAGAAAAATCGGAAAATATTATTTACGTTGTGGATGTTTCATTCCGTTTCAATCTTTTAAACTGTATAAATCGATTACAGTATTGTTTTCTTAATAGCGTTTTACTATTTCTTGTTCCGATAAATAGTAACAGTAACGATAAATAGTAACAGTGAACATTATAGCTACATTAACACCATGCACTATTATACGACCGAGTGAACCGTGTACCGCTTGTACAAAGTTCTTTTGAACTGGTATGACTAAGTAACGCAACGGGGATTTTTTGGCGCAAGTGGCACAAATTTGACACACGTTTGATTTTCTTAAAATATTGTGGTTGGAGGCATGCAGCTTTATATTCTGTTTATTCCAATCAAATGATATAAAAAAATTATGTAAATCCTGGACTTAAAATTATCTGATTAACATACTTTATGCCCGTTTTGGAAAACGTAGAGGAAATGTTTTCATATACTTACCAAAACATAAACCGAAAGTTTGCTGATTGAATTTTACAAGAAACTTTTATTTTGATACTACTTTTAATAAACATATCATTTATTTTAAATTTCCCTTTGTATAAAAAGTATCCCTAATGCGTCAAGGAAAAAAATCCATTTCTCCAGCATATAATCTTTCAAAACATTAAAAAAATGAAGTGTAAACAAACTTTCATTATGATACTATATATTCAATTTATATAATAAATTATATTTTGTTAAATAATTGTAATTTATAACCATTCGTTGTGTCTTATTTCCAAATATTTTCAAATTAAACAAATCTTCCACAGCAGCAAAAAGACCTCTCGCATGCTTCTTTTTAAAGAAGCAAACTTGTATATCGCTCCCTGACTATCTTAGTAACGAACGATTTAATATTTATAGCCTTTCTTAGCGGTTGTAAATATTTGCAATATCGTAGTATTGTCTATGTACGTGAAAAGCGTGCACCTGTAGTGACGTATTAGTATTTTCTCACGCCACCTGATATTCCTTTTTATTTTATGCTTTTCAGTGGATTACTGATTTATCCGTGAAGATTATATTTGATAATTTCACAGTGAAAATTATCAAAATATAATTTCACTTTTTTCAATGACAAAACTACTTTTTTAAGATTTTCCCCATGGGGTACCTCAATTTTATTTTTACTGACAATTCTGACAATATCAGGCTGTTAAAAAAAATAGCAAAGCTGAAATAGATAAATAACTTAAATGTCAAAAGTAATAAAGAGAGAAAACTTACTTCTATTCCTTCAAATTCCAATCACAAAATTTCGTCTCTAAATTTTTTTGTTTCGTTTTTACAGTCTGAAAAATACATTCCTTCCCCATGCTAAAATGCTCTTGATGACATTTGGGCATATTAAAGTATCCTACGAGCAATAACTGCCGTATGCTTTGTGAAAAAATGAAAAGCATTGACAGCCATCACTCGTAAAATAAGTAAAACAACCCAGCGTTCCTTACAATGCCTTAGCAAGCTTCCAAGTTTTCCATTTTCCTAGCTCCTTTTCTGAATGTTTTCACTTCTGTCAACACTTATTTTTTGTCCGTTACAATCCTCAAATAAGTTTTCTTTCTTTTAAAAAGGTGTATGACTAACAAATCCAAATTATATCCTTCTGAATCTTACACAATTATTTTCCTCCCATGCAATACACAACTTTAAAAAATGGCTGCCGCTTACATTTTACAAAGCCAGGTCTAATATAAATTCGCAGTAAGTAACAGAAATATGGATGGATGGTTGGACTTTTTCTCCTACAAGAATTGTTCGTTTTTATTATTAAAACAAGCGATCATTCATATTTTTTTAATAAAATGAATAAATATCACCGTCATTTAACCTTGATTGGCGGACTTATTTCTCAGCTCAAGACTTCTTGTTTTTGATGAGAAATTCCCTCTGAATGGGGCTCTGTTTGTTGTGTAAGATGTAATTTTATTTCATCTCGTGAACTTTAAAAACAGTATTCTCACTCGTGGCTACGCCACTCGTGAGAATACTGTTTTTAAAGCCCACTCGATGAAATAAAATTTCATCTTACACACAAACAAACAAATATCCTCTATGCATTAGTTTACATTAGTATGTATGATAATTTGATAAATAACTATACTATTTATAGAAGAAATAATAACAAAATGTGTTAAATTTTTTTTTAGTATCATAATGCTCTACTACTCTTTTGTTACACCTTTTCTAGAAGTAAAGATATATATTGTATTACATACATGTATGTACATGTACTTACTATTTATCAGTTAATCATATAGAGGATATTTGTTAAGTTCAGTGTAAGATCGGAATATATTTCACCGAGTGAGCACCAAAAGGTATATTTCACGAGTGGCGCCGCCACGAGTGAAATGTGAACTTTTGGTGTTCACAAGGTGAAATATATTTCGATCTTACACTAAACTAAACAAATTTTCTTTTTATTATATGCAAAGACACGTTTTAAAGAGACATTAAACCTAATACTGAATGAAAGGCGCGCCAAATAATAACACAACGTGACGTCATTTACGACGTCACGTCATCAAGTTGGTTCCCAGTACTGTGCACGCTGGTATTACACTGAAACAACGTAAGGGGCTTAAATTCAAAACAGTGAAATTATCAAAATGATATTTTCACTGTTTAAAACAGTGAAATTACCAGTTTTATATCACTGATATATTTCTATAAACCACCGAAAAGCATGTAATAAATAGAGGATATTTGTTTAGTTCAGTGTAAGATCGGAATATATTTCACCGAGTGAGCACCAAAAGGAATATTTCACGAGTGGCGCAGCCACGAGTGAAATATGAACTTTTGGTGTTCACAAGGTGAAATCTATTTCAATCTTACACTAAACAAAACAAATTTTCTTTTTATTACATGCAAAGAAACGTTTTAAAAAGACATTTAACCTAATACTGAATGAAAAGCGCGCCAAATAATAATACAACGTGACGTCATTTACGACGTCACGTCATTAAGTTGGTACCCAGTACTGTGCACGCTGGTATTTCATTGAAACAACGTAAGGGGCTTAAATTCAAAACAGTGAAATTATCAAAGTGGTAATTTCACTGTTTCAAACAGTGAAATTACCAGTTTTATATCACTGATATATAGAGGATATTTGTTTAGTTCAGTGTAAGATCGGAATATATTTCACCGAGTGAGCACCAAAAGGTATATTTCACGAGTGGCGCAGCCACGAGTGAAATATGAACTTTTGGTGTTCACAAGGTGAAATATATTTCAATCTTACACTAAACTAAACAAATTTTCTTTTTATTATATGCAAAGAAACGTTTTAAAAAGACATTTAACCTAATACTGAATGAAAAGCGCGCCAAATAATAATATAACGTGACGTCATTTACGACGTCACGTCATTAAGTTGGTTCCCAGTACTGTGCACGCTGGTATTTCACTGAAATAACGTAAGGGGCTTAAATTCAAAACAGTGAAATTATCAAAGTGGTAATTTCACTGTTTCAAACAGTGAAATTACCATTTTTATATCACTGATATATTTCTATAAACCACCGAAAAGCATGTAATAAATAGTCGATATTTGTTTAGTTCAGTGTAAGATCGAAATATATTTCACCGAGTGAGCACTAAAAGGTATATTTCACGAGTGGCGCAGCCACGAGTGAAATATGAACTTTTGGTGTTCACAAGGTGAAATATATTTCGATCTTACACTAAACTTAACAAATTTTCTTTTTATTATATGCAAAGAAACGTTTAAAAAAGACATTAAACCTAATTCTGAATGAAAAGCGCGCCAAATATAATACAAAGTGACGTCATTTACGACGTCACGTCATTTAGTTGGTTCCCTGTACTGTGCACGCTGGTATTTCACTGAAACAACGTAAGGGGCTTAAATTCAAAACAGTGAAATTATCAAAGTGGTAATTTCACTGTTTCAAACAGTGAAATTACCAGTTTTATATCACTGATATATTTCTATAAACCACCGAAAAGCATGTAATAAACAATACTAGTATATTAAAAACCGTTGATAACAAAATCTTGTAGTGCCGTATCATGTATTGTATTAATTTTTGTTGACTTATTCGTAACAGTTTTTAATTTCTTTTCATTCTCTCATTCTTCATTGCTGTTACAGTATATTGTTAATGCAGTTCGAAATTGTATTTGTATCATTGTATAACAATTTGCAACAAAATAATGCAAACTTTGATAATTACGTGACGTTGAATTTTTGTGTGTGACCGTGTGTATTTTTTACATGTCTTAAATGAACAGACTATTTATTTATCTACTGTAACTGTGTATCATATTCAAAAT